CCTCACAAGAACCCTACAAGACTGATACAATTATCCCGGATTTAACCTGTGGAAACTGAGGCAAAGGGAAGTGACGGAAGGCACAGGAAGCCTCAGGAGAGTCCCTGAGGGTCAGCAGGGCAGATACAGGAGCTGGAGGGCAAAGGAGGCCAGAGGCTAAGGGTGGCCATACCCTACTCGCAGGTATCCAGGCACTGTCTTGGTCTTCCCGCTCAGCCGGACATCGAACACAGCCATGTCTGCAGCCCCCAGGGGCACGAGCTTTACACACATGCGTTTCTTCTTGGACACAGAGGCCTCTGGGAGTGAGGGGGGTGGCAAGGGTGTGAGAAGAGGGAAGAAGCAGTGAAGGGGGTCCAAAGATGGCTCCAGGATGATGTTCGCCAGGGCACTGTTTAAAGCAGCTCCCTGGAGAGCTTTAGGTCAACGGTTAAATCATGAATGGTATAGCCAAAGGAGGGGACTCCATGTAGCCTCTAGGAGCTGGAGACATGAAGAAGCATTCATGGGGTGACCACGGGCACCTACAGCAAGGGTGGACAGCTATGAAATCAGACAGAACTGAATGCCCATCCTGGCCTGCAAACCTCACTTTTCCTTTGTCCTCTAATCCAGGGGTCAGCAAACCCCAGCCCATGAGCCAAAAGACGTCCAAAATCTGTTTTTACAGGGCTTATGAGCTAAGAATGGTTTTCATGTTTTTAAAGGATTGTGGGGGGCGGGGGGAGCAGGGAGGCAACAGCACTACCTGGCCTGCAAAGCCTAAAATATCTACTATCTCGACCTGAACAGAAAAACTTTGCCAACTCCAATATCCATAGATACATCCTGAGAGTCAAATACATGTGACAAGTCACAGCGGGAGGCAGGGGGAGCCAGGTGGTTGGAAAGCAGCAGAGGGTCAGGGCTGGGAGGGCAGCCCCCGCTATAGGAGCCAGAGGAGAGGGGTGGGAAGAGGTAACCAAAGACCTGGGGGAGAACCAAGTATTAACTAGGGGGAAGAGTCCCGGAAGGGTGCTCCAGGCAGAGGAAACCGTGTGCAAAAGCCTGGAAAGGAAAAGGCTTGGCAATGACCGTGGTTCGGCTTGGCTACGGTGTAAGATACAGCAGAAACAGTAATGAAACGGGTCACAACTCTTGGTCTAGGTCAGAGGTTGTCCCAACGGCACATTTTTACGCAGGGCAGGGCATGTGGCCCCGCCCCAGAACAGGGCTCCACTCCACAGCCAGCCCTGTCATCACCCAGTGCGCGGTCGTGGCTCGGAAAACAAGCACCTGTCGTCCCTCCACCCTTCCCTGGTCCTACCCACGGGGACCCGAACGCGGCCCCCCGTCCCACCCCCAGCCTCGGACGCGGGCCTCACTGGAGTCCAGGGGGTCGCAGACCGGGGAAAAGCCCGGTGGGAGGGGGCTCTTGTCCACCAGGACCTGGATATCGGCCACCACATTCTCCTGCGGATTCTGAGGGGGAGGAAGGGGAGGACACAGCGACAGTCACTCTGCAGCGGGGACAGCGCGCCTGGCGTAGGGCTCCGCAAGAGGACGGGGGAGTGGGCGTACCCGGGGGATGCCGAAGGACGGCGCCCCTTACCTCTAGGCTGCCCAAAGAACTGAGGCACAGAAAGTAGCCAGATTTCTGCGCGAAGCTCTTGCCGAAGCTGGCGGGCGTCCCTTCCACGGTGCAAGAGATCTACGGCGGGGACCGGAGTCAGCATCAGGCTCCTACCGCGACGCGGCCGCCTCTGCCCTCACTAATCCCCGGACCCCCGACGTAGCTCACCGCACTGAATCCCCGCAGGGGAGGCGCCGAGGCCGACGACCAGGCCAGGGCAGTCAGCGGCGCCGGGTCGGTCCCGGGTCCTGGATCCATCCTCCCAGACAAGAGCCGAAGGCCGGGACGCCTTCGCAACTCCGAGCGGCCGAATCGCCGCGGAGTTCGGGTAAGAGTCTGAACTACAAATCCCAGACTACCGTAAGGAAGGCGGGGTCAAAAGAGCCGATTGCGCGTGCCCGGAAGACAGCTGGCCAATCGCATGGGAAAGTGCAGCCACGTCTCCGTGCGTCGCGCAGGAGCGCCCGTGAGCGACGTTTACGGAAAATTGCGTTGCTTCCTTCTCTCTCCTAGCGACTTCCGCCAGAAATATCCCCGCTCTGCGCCAGAAGTCTCGACTTACCCTAAACCAGAACTACGCTCCCCAGAAACCCTTGCGGCATTAGCCCCCCCTCCAGAGACACGTACAGGCTTTTAGCGGAGAAATGTGAAAAAAAGCAATTCTAGTTCTAGAAAGTCTTCCTAAAGTAAACTTTCATGGGTTATGCAGCGATTACTTTAAATAACAAAAAATACGGACCACCATGAGCCAATAAATCTGGTGTAACTTGAAGACTTGTTCATGTTACGGGGGTGGGGTGGGGGGGCGAGACCGCGTTGTGTGAATGGAGGTCTCGGTTCTTGGATTCCCCACGAAAGATTTACCCGAGGATCCGCGCTGGAGTGAAGACAGCCAAGAGGAAGGTAGCAAGCACAAAGCAGTTTGTTAAGAACCGCACACTCGAGTGGGAGAGCGGGCAGGTCCAGGGATCGCAGCTGACCTGAGGCTAGGGGTGTCTTTTCCTTTTATGTTTAGGAGCACAGCTACGGTGGTCTGCCACTGAGGTTTCCAACTAAGGGATTCCTCCTACCGGTTCGGAAGGGGTTTTTGACTCTACTGAGTCTTGCCGGAAGTGTCGTGGCCATCTTCCCCCACAGTGGGGTAGGAGGTGGGGGTCAAAGCCACAATGTAACAATGAACCCAGGCAGTCACCCTGAGGCACAGACTGGAGAGGAGACCACAGGTTCTGCACCCGTGGTTCTTGGTCGACTAGCCTGCTGCTACAAAGCCACAAAGAAAGCCCCCAGGCTGCTAATGTGTGACCTATTTGTCGCCATCCTTGCCTCCAGCTCAGGTCGAATAGCCGCCTACTCCATCCTTCTCAGACACAGTTTTTTTCAATGAGATAGAAAGTACTTAATATGGTAACATGCTTTTATACCCCACAGGGGGAAATGCGAAAAATTAGGGAACAGAGTATTGTCTACTCTTCTATATTTTTCCATTTTCTGTAATATCCTGGATTGGCCTACCGTCTGGCTTTTATACAACCTGTGACCTAAAAAACGTTTTTATATGTGTCAGTGGTTGAAGGAGGCAGGGCATCAAAAGGGTTCTTAGTGACATGTGAAAAGAATAGGACATTCAAATATCAATGGCTATAAGATGCCCCAGGACGCTTGAGTGGTCAGTTGGTTAAGTGTCTGCCTTCAGCTCAGGTCCTGATCCCAGCGTCCTGGGATCCAGCGGGTGGGGCTCCCTGCTCAGCAGACAGCCCGCTGCTCCCTCTGCCTGCTGCTCCCCCTGCTTGTGCTCTCCCTCTCTCTCTCTCTCTCTCCTGACAAATAAATAAAATCTTAAAAAAAAGAAAGAAAGAAAGAAAGAAAGAAAAGAAAAGAAAAAGAAACAAACGTCCTGGAAAAGATGAACCAAAAAGAGAAGGGGGTTTCAGTTAGCATGGAGGTGGCCTGCTTGGTGGCTGTCCGGCTACATTGGAGGCAGATGCCACAGCAGCATTCTTTTTTTTTTTTTTT